GCATGTTGGATTTACATGGTCATAGGTGACCTAGTAAAGAATGTAAGACATAGGTATTATATTAAAAAGTCTATTGCTCAGGAATAATGCATCCTATAAAGTAAGCCTCTTCTTGGAGAGAGGTTAAGCAAAATGATGTAAGAAGATGGGTATGGTCAGATGCTACCTTTGCTTGGCTGGGGTGTATGGGGCACATTACAAAAACTTCATTGCCTTAACTCTTTGGTTACAATGCTGTAAGTATTAGGATGTTGCTGGTGCAGGGGCCTATGCCTGTACCTGTAATCCCAGCATTTGTAAGACCAAAGCCAAGTGATCACTTGAGCTCAGGAGTTCAAGACCAGCCTAAGTGACATGGCAAAACCCCATCTCTACAAAAACATACAGAAGTGAGCCAGGTATGGTGGAGAGTGCATGTAGTTTCAGCTGGGAAGCTGGGAGTGTGGAAAGTGGAAGGATCACTTGAGCCAGGGAGGTCAAGGCTGCAGTGAGCTGAAATCGTGCCACTGTACTCTAGCCTGGGTGACAACAAGACCCTGTATCAAAAAACCAAAAGATGTACTTTAAAAATGATTCTCGTTAAACTACTTTTTCCCATGATAGACAAATTTAGTTTATATTGGTTTGCTTATAGTCATTGTTACCTCGCCTACCATTTGCTAATAGCTGAGTTGAAGGTGCTAAAAACTTATCAGCTATATTAATCTGCTCTTGCTTTCAGAAAGTAATGTCTAAATGAAAAGCACTGCTGCTTGAATAAAGAGTATCCTGGCCGGGCGAGGTGGCTCAAGCCTGTAATCCCAGCACTTTGGGAGGCTGAGACAGGCGGATCACAAGGTCAGGAGATCGAGACCATCCTGGCTAACACGGTGAAACCCCGTCTCTACTAAAAAATACAAAAAAAAAACTAGCCAGGCGAGGTGGCGGGCGCCTGTAGTCCCAGCTACTTGGGAGGCTGAGGCAGGAGAATGGCGTGAACCCGGGAAGCAGAAGTTGATCCAGCCACTGCACTCCAGCCTGGGCGACAGAGCGAGACTCCGTCTCAAAAACAAAACAAAACAAAAAAGTATCCTTGGCTAAATTCCCAGAGTAGTTTGTTGAGCTGGGGGCTTGCCACAGCCGTGTTAAATTACAAAAAATGTCTGAATAAACTGATATTCAAGAGATTTATTTACTTATTTTGAGATGGAGTCTCCTGGTGCCCAGGCTGGAGTGCAATGGCACGATCTCAGCTCACGGCAACCTCCATCTCCTGGGTTCAAGTGATTCTCCTGCCTCAGCCTCCTGAGTAGCTGGGGTGTTATAGGCACGTGCCACCATGCCTGGCTAATTCTATTTAGTAGAGACGGGGTTTCTTCATGTTGGTCAGGCTGGTCTCGGACTCCTGACCTCAGGTGATCCTCCTGCCTCAGCTTCCCAGAGTGCTGGGATTAACAGGTGTGCGCCACCACCCGCAGCCTGAGATTACATATTTAAGATGTGATAAAATAGTAATCACAGCTTACATGTGAAGAATAGGCTTCTACTTCTACAGAAAGTAGGTCATTTTTACCTGCCAACCTGTGCCAACTTGCAAGGATACAACAGTGGACAAATCAGTCCTCTTTAGGGAAACATGATTTTACACATATAGTAGGTGAGGGTATATAGTGAATGTCAATATTTTCCTCCATCCCTATCCTATCCAAGGTGATAGAATTTTTTTTTTCTAGTGCATGTTAACATTCAGACGTCCAAGTGTTATGGGTAAAATGAGTAAGTCCTTTTGAGAACCTGAAAATGTAAACTAAAATCAATATAAGAAATGTACAACACAGGCTTTTGCTCATAAAAGCAAAATGTTAAGATTTTGCATGGTTAAGAATCTTTTTGTAATAATGTTATGTTTTATTTAGGGAATTACTGGGAAAATAAAGTCATTATACCCAACTTGAATGTAAAGCTATGCTTGCTAATATTTGGAGAATAAAATGGCCCCTTAAAGTATTGCTTTTCTGCGCTAAATGTTGGCTTTTAAGGAAGTGGAGCTGCCCATTCTCAATACCCTTGAGTCTTAGGTAACCTGGGACCCAGAAGAAGCTAGAAATAAACACTACCTGTTCTCACTACAGCAAGTTTAGCTTTACTCAGGAAGGCAACTTGGCCACTGGGAAAGCATTTTATTAAAACGTGTGTTTCTATTGGTCCAAGGGATAATGCGTGCATCAGCAGACTTGTCAGTGCTTACAGGTGGTGGTTTGGCAAAAAAGGGATTTTTTTTTTTTAACTCTTCTACATCCTATCTGTATTGTTTACAGATTTGAATGTATTCACTTAATAAATGTTTAATATTTAATATCAATTAACTTAAAATGTTTATTTTTTTTTGAGACGAAGTCTCCCTCTGTTACCCAGGTTGGAATGTAGTGGCACAATCTCGGCTCACTACAACCTCCGCTTCCCGGGTTCAAGCGATTCTCCTGCCTCAGCCTCCCGAGTAGCTGGCACCACAGGTGTGTGCCACCATACCCAGCTAATTTTCTTATTTTTAGTAGAGACAGGGTTTCACCATGTTGGCCAGGATGGTCTCCATCTCCTGACCTCGTGATCTGCCCGCCTCGGCCTCGCAAAGTGCTGGGATTACAGGTGTGAGTCACCACGCCCGACCAAAATATTTGAAGACAGTCAATATGACAGGAGACTGGGGCTGGCTCAACACGTAGACCAGCTGCACAGAGGGTGCATTTGGTCTTCCGCTCTCACTGCCCCACCCCATGGGGGAAGAGGTACAGCTCCGTTTAAATTCCTCCTTTGAGCTATAGTGGCAAACTCAGCAACGAAGTAGGTCTCAGGCCTGTAGTTTCTTTTTCTTTCGGGACTTGATGGCTCATGTCCCTGCACCTGGAATCTTTTTCAAGGATGTCCGGGCCATCTGGGAACTGCTGCGTGTACACACACACACACAAACACGCCCCTAACACCAGAGGTTGGGTGTATCATTCTGTTTTCGAGCCTACTGTATTCACCTGTCTGCCCCGTCAGCTACTTCTACAAGGGTCAAAGGGCCTCACCCAGAGACTACAGACCCCCTGGTGGAGAAGTGTACTGGCCGTTTCTGCAGCTGGACCCCTCGGCCTAAAATGTTCTGGCTTTAACAAAGAGGCGACAGTGTCCAACCCCAGTCCCCGAGGAGGGATGTCAGCCCTGGGCTCCTGTGAGCGCTGCAGATTCGTTCCAGAGAAGGGTGACCGGGGTCGCTGCTCCGGGAATACCAGCTAAATATCTGAATTAGCATCCTCAGCACGCGCTGGGAGACGCAGTTCAAGTCTGCTCCCCTTCTTGTGCCCTTATATATATTTGGTGCAAAATGGAGAACCTTTTCCCCTACGTTTGTGTAAAAACATATGTAAATAAAGCTTTATAATAGTGTTACTGACCCCCTTTTCCACTCGCAATAAGATTGACTATATATGCTGATCACTCCAGAAAAATCTCGACTCTTCCTTGAGTAGTCTGGAGCTAGCAGGTGCACTGAAAATGTTACAACTGTTAACTGAAATCTAAATTTCCATGTGAATGGGCTGTCTCTGGTCCCCTGTCCAGAGACTAATATTTTTCCAAAAGCCTGAAAATACGCTTTTATGATATCGGGAGTCTCAAGGTAAACGTAAAAACGGACTCCTTTACCCCTTCGGATGTCTCCCATGAACTCACAACTGGCCACTAGCTCCCCCTTCACGTGGCTCCTTAGAAAGCGTGGAAAAGGGAAAAATGAATAGAGAAACTGCCAGGACTTAAGATGTCTGCTTTGAAGACCCTTCGAGTTGCAATGAAGGGCCTACCCGCTTCCAAAATGTCCACCCGCAGTCCTGACGTCACTGGATCGGCTCCATCAAGCCAGAAAACGAGAGTGCGCTCCAATCAGGGCTCAGTCCCCGCCCTTGGCTTGCGTCACTTCCGGTGGTGCAGCAGCCATTTTGTCAGTCGCCAGCGGATCCCGCGCGCTGGGGAAGTGCAGTTCCCCCTGGTTACCAACTCGTCCCCTTTTCCTTCGGACTAAGGGAGCCGTCGAAGAGTGCTCGCCAAAGGCGCAGCCGTTTCTCCCTGCGGTGCCGCCGCTCCTGCTGCAGCCGCCCGTAGGTAGTGGGCCGTTTTTCTCACCTGTCCCTGACAGGCGCCCTCAGGGAGCCGCGGTCCGCGATGTCAAGCGAGGAGAGCTACCGGGCCATCCTGCGTTACCTGACGAACGAGCGCGAGCCGTACGCGCCGGGCACCGAAGGCAATGTCAAGCGTAAAATCCGAAAAGCTGCCGCCTGCTACGTGGTGCGCGGCGGGACTCTGTATTACCAGCGGCGGCAGCGACACCGCAAGACCTTCGCGGAGCTGGAGGTGGTGCTGCAGCCGGAGCGACGCCGGGACCTCATCGAGGCGGCGCACCTGGGTCCCGGCGGCACTCACCACACCCGGCATCAGACTTGGCACTACCTGTCCAAGACGTACTGGTGGCGAGGTGAGACCTGGCCCGCGGTAAGGGGGCGGGCTGGCGACTCGTTGCCTGGGCAAGGCTCGCTGGCGAGGCCTGTTTGCGCACCCACGAGTCGGAGGATCTCGGACGCCTCTGGGCGTCGGAGCTGCTGCTGCCAGGCGGAGCCGAGAGGGTGGGGGACGCGAAAGGAGCCGCACTTCCCACAGGAAGGAGGCCGGCGAAGCTGGGGGCGGGTCCTGGCCCAGGGTGGGACCAAGGGGGCTTCCCCGGAGGCCGGGCCTGCCGCGGGGAGGGGCCGGACGCCTGGGCTGCGCCAGGTCCGCCTCCTTGGGCGGCCCGTGGAGGCTGAGGCCCCGGCCCTCCGGAGGTGGCGTTTGGCCCGCGGCAGTGAAGGCTGCGGATTGCACGTTTTCAACTCTGTGCTGACGTTTGGAGGGAGGGACTAGTCACCCGAAGCCGGGTCTCCCGTTTCTTTAGTGCTACGCTTGGGTTTTGGCGAGCAAGTATGAGCTGCTCTGGACACATTCGGTAGTGTTCCTCAAATTTCGTCGCTGCCGCGTAAATAAGGCATAACACAATTATTTGCAGAAGTGATAAGGAGTGATTGGGAAATCGCCTTGAGCGTTTTTTTAAGAACAAGAATTAAATGTGAAAGATAGCAGATACTCTTTTTTTGGTTGGTTGGTTGGTTGGTTTTGCGGTGAGGGGAGGTTGGTTGGTTGAGTGGAGACGGGTCTCGCCACGTTCCCCAGGTTGGTCTCCATCTGGCCTCAAACGATCCTCCCGCGTCAGCCTCCCAAAGAGTTGGGATTTCAGGCATGAGCCACGGCGCCCAGCTTGATATTCGTAACTCTGGATGTTTTAATAATCTTTCCCCTAATGTGAAAAACGCGTTTGGGAACTGTGTAGCATTGTATATACGCAGAAAAGATATGATTACTGTGACTTTTTGATTGTCAAAAAATAGAGCTCTAAAGTTACTTGACTCTTTGGGAACCAGTTGTAGGGGAGGAGAGCAAGTGCCTTGGCTTCTCAACCATCTTCCCTCTCCACAGTTGATGAATATTCAAACTGTCAGAATTAGTAACAGTTTACAGTCTCATTTAAGAAAGTTTTTTAGGAACAGTTCTGTCACTCTCCATATGGCTACGGAAAAGTTAATTCATAAGTCTTGGTTACTTCGTCTGTGAATAAGGAAATTACTGAATAGTTTCTAAATTATTTTCGGTTTATAAACGTCAAGTTTATTCGTTTACGAACTAGTGGATAATCAAATTCTTCCATTTATTTTCCATTTTAAACCAGTATCTGAATTAAATTCCTGTAAGGACAGACAAATGCGAAGAGTAAATTTGAGGTAATGAAGTAATCACTGCATTTTGTTTGGATGGGTTTGGGTAGACATTTGTTGAACAAATGTCTCACACTGAATACTTCAGAATTTGTTAAAGATAATCATTTTAACTATAGGTAATACTGCAAGCTTATATATGCAGGATATAGTCGTTAGTACTTGGCATTTATTTAACCTTCATAAAACCTTAATACTTATCTCCTTTTTTCCCTGGAGACAGAGTGTAGGGCGGCTTGCTTCTTGCTGCAGTGACACGAAAACAGCTCACTGTAGCCTCGACCTCCTAGGCTCAGATGATCCTCCCATTTCAGCCTCTGTTTTACAGATGAAAAAACTAAAAGCACTACAATGTTAAATAACACAACAAAAGTCACACAGCTGACCTTTGTGATCTTACACTTTTCTTAACCCAGTGTTATGTGGTATTTTGTGTTCAGAATTTTCTTTTTCTAAGTTGATTATCTGTGAGTGATTCCAATCCAGTTTTTTGTTGGTTTTTTTAATTTTTAGTGTGCGGTGTCTTAAAAGACAAAAACCTGAGACGATGTTTTATTTATTTATTTATTGAGACAGAGTCACTCTCGCCCAGGCTGGAGTGCAGTGGCGCGATCTCGGCTCACTGCAAACTCCGCCTCCCGGGTTCAAGCGATTCTCCAAAGTAGCTGGGATTACAGGTGCCCGCCACCACGCCCCGCTAATTTTTCTATTTTTAGTAGCGACGGAGTTTCACCATGTTGGCCAGACTGGACTCGAGCTCCTGACCTCAGGTGATCTGCTCACCTTGGCCTCCAAAAGGGCTGGGATTATAGGTGTAAGCCACAGCGCCTGACCAGTACAACCTCTTTTGGTCTCTAAATCTACACTCATATAAATGCTTTTTGGAGAAAAGTTATATTTAATTCGAACCCATTGTTTCTTTCTTCCTTTTTCCTTTCTTTTTCTTTCTTTCTTTCTTTTTTTTTTTTTTTTTTTTTCTTTTGAGACAGAGCTTGTCTGTCACCCGCAGGCTGGAGCGCGAGTGGCCCCGGCGACTCGGCTCAACTGCAAGCCTCACCTCCCCAGCCGCCCCTCATGTGATCTGGTGCCTCAGCCTCCGAGTCCGCTGACAGCAGCGCCCGCTTCCCACCAACCAAACTAGGCCTAATTTGTGTTTTAGTAGAGAACGGAGTTTGCTAATGGTGGGGCCACCGCTACAGTGTGTCTGAACGTCTTACTGCCAAATGATCCGGCCCACCCTCAGCCCCCCCCCCGGGCGTGAAGCCACCGGCCCAGCCCCACTTGTGTTCTTTTGCTGGGCCAAAAAAACAAAAATCTCTGTAAAACGCAGAAATTGGCAAATCCTAGGTTAAACAGGTTTCTTCACCGTAGAAGTCAGAGGTTCTGATATGATAATATCAATTGTATATAGCTAAAATTTTTCTGAATTTATGACTTCAGTGTATACTTTTATAATCAGTGTGGGACATAATATAATTTGGAAAATATTGCTTGAATACTATATGAAGATTGAAAGTGTAAGGAACTTGGTGGCTGGGCAAGGTGGCTCATGCCGATATTCCCAGCACTTTAGGAGGCCGAGTCGGGCAGATCACCTGAGGTCAGGAGTTCGAGACCAGCCTGGCCAAAATAGTGAAACCCCATCTGCTAAAAATACAAAAAATTAGCCGAGTGTGGGGGTGGAGGCCTGTAATCCCAACTACTCGGGAGGCTGAGGCAGGAGAATCACTTGAACCCGGGAGGTGGAGGTTGCAGTGAGCTGAGATCCCACCACTGCACTCCAGCCTGGGCGACAGAGAGAGATTCCATCTCAAAAAAAAAAAAAAAGTATAAGGAGCTTTGTGTAATTCGGCATTTTAAAACACTTCTCAGGAATATAGTGTATACCTCTATCATTTTAGCTAATAACCTTTTCATTTGTACCTATTTGAAGATTTGAGGGTAATTTTCTGCCCTAGGTATGGACAAGCATGCTCTTGTATAAGTAGAATAATATACTGAAAATCCCGTGACTTCTGGAGGCCTAGCTCTGCCATTTTACTAGATGTGACTTTGGACAAGTTTCATTCCTCTTAGGGCTTTATTTTCCTCTTGTATAGAATGGGAATTAATTGTTGTCTGTCTTACAAGGATGATAGTGGGGTGTGTGTGTATGTGTGTATATATATATAAATCTTATCCCTGCTCCCTCACCCCTACCCCAGCATGCCGGGAGCTAGAAGTTGAAATTCAAAATCGTCTTTTGTGAGTGGCTTGTATACAGTCAACCTTTGTTAGATTGCATATGCTATTGTTTCACACAACCCTAAAATCTCATAGCTTTTTTGAAACAAAAGATTTATTTTAAACTTTCATTACAAGTTTTGGTTGTAGTCCTTGTTCCAGGCTACAGATTGGTTTCAGCTTTTTTCGTCTGAAATTCAGGTTTAAGAACAACATCCCTCTGGGACATGCTGTTCTTTGTGAGAGGGGACAAAGATCAGAGAACTGGTGCAAAATATTCAGTACCTCTTAAGGTTGTGTTCAGATATGGTACACATCATGTATGCAGATCAAATCATATGGTCAAGCCTAATGTCACTGGGGTGGAGAAGTATTGGCTTGAGCCATATTAAATTGTTAATTTGTTTGGTTTTGTTTTGAGACAGAGCCTTGCTCTGTCGTCCAGGCTAGAGTGCAGTGGCACATTCTCAGTTCACTGCAGCCTCCGCCTCTCGGGTTATAAGTGAGTCTCCTGCCTCAGCCTCCGGAGTAGCTGGGATTACAGGTGTGTGCCATCACGCCCTAAAGTGTTAATTTGCATAGGTCAAAAACAGGTGAATATTGGCAGTTTCATGTAGTTCCTCTTGCATGAAAACATTGCAACTCACATGAAAATGAGTGGAGCTATATAGTCATCTTATGATTGGAGAAACACATAACTGGGAATAAACAAAAAAAAATTACCTCAGCAGGAGAACATCATTTCTAACCTTATATTTTTTGGAAAAAAGTATATTTTACATTCTAATAAACTCTACATATTTTATGGGATATATACTGAAACATGTTAATGTACACAGATTAATATATTTTACTGTTTTCAGTTAACAGTATTAAATTTGACTTGTTAATATTTTCATTGTAGGTATATTGAAGCAAGTCAAAGATTACATTAAACAGTGTAGCAAATGCCAGGAGAAACTAGATCGATCCCGTCCAATATCAGATGTTTCAGAAATGTTGGAAGAATTGGGACTAGACCTTGAATCTGGAGAAGAAAGTAATGAATCAGAAGATGACCTGAGCAACTTTACTTCATCTCCAACTACAGCCTCCAAGCCTGTAAAAAAGAAGCCAGTATCCAAACATGAACTTGTGTTTGTAAGTGGTACTCTCCATTCAGCTTTAAGATGTGTAACTAGTGTACTAGTATTTGCAGCCTTGGTGACTTATTTTTCTCGAACCACTAAGACTGCTTATTGAATAAGACAAAATGGCAATGTACTGTGTTATATAAGCTGAACTGCCTCTTCATTTACCATAAATGTTCCTGTTATTTTTTCAGAATGAACTTACTAATAATTACCTGTTGGTTTGCTGTTAATTATCCTCCCTCCCTTCTTTTGTGGTGATATATTGGTGCAAGTAGACAGATTTACATTTCTGGAAGCAGTCTCTGGGTTTATGCCCCAAGGTAAAATTAATCTGGCGAGGTCTTTGTTTTTCACCTGCATCAGTTTCATACATCATCACATTTCTGATCAGTAAGAAGAGGCAGCCAGAGGTGAGATACGGGTTTTCATTAGACCAGGTAGAATGAACATGGCAGAAAATAGAGAGAATAGGACAACATATCTTTTTATTTAAATACATAGGTAACAAAGAAAATATCAAATTATTCATACCTGGTAAAAGGTAATATGTAATGTGTCTTGTTTTAAAGTTTGTTAAGGGTAAAAAATACAGGTAATATATTACTCCTGCTCTCAAACTTATTTTGACAGGTTGACACCAAAGGAGTGGTAAAACGTTCTTCTCCAAAACATTGTCAGGCTGTCTTAAAACAGCTGAACGAACAGAGACTTTCCAACCAGTTCTGTGATGTTACTTTGTTAATTGAAGGAGAAGAGTACAAAGCGCATAAATCTGTTTTGTCAGCAAATAGCGAGTATTTTCGAGATCTTTTTATTGAGAAAGGAGCTGTTTCCAGTCATGAGGCTGTGGTGGATCTTTCTGGTAAGGGTTTTCTATTACTCTTGCTTTTTGCTTGTAATGACATTCTAGAAGAGGGGGTTATGTGTGTCTTCCACACAAACTTTATGCCAAAGTAAGAGAAGCCCACTTACAGCAGTAGACTAAGCTGAACTGAAAAGGTTCTTTTTAGCAAGATTTCTGTGGTAGAGTTATGGAAAAGGGTGTCATTTCCTTTCACTACCTCTTAAGTGAGACAGTTATAGCAGAAGAAGAATTTCTGGGATTTAAACTGTTAAAAACAGTTTGAGCTAAATCCATAAGTGCAACAAAATTATTACATTAAATGAATATGTTATTTAAAAATTGATTGTTTAAGCTAGGTGTGGTGGTGCACGCCTGTAGTCTCACCTACTTGGGAGGCTGGGATGTGAGGCTCGCTTAAGGTCAGAAGTTCCAGACTAGTGTGTCATTGTACGTGTGAATAGCCACTGCTCTGCAGACTGGGCAGTATAACAAGACCCTGCCTCTAAAAATAAAAAGTAAATAAAAATTGACTGTTTATGTCTTATTTTGTGGGACATGTAATCGTAGAGTATTTTATGTCTTTTGGTTTTTAAAGATTAATTATTAGAGTTTAAGTTCAATAATCAAATTATCAATATATAAAAGTCAAAATTCCAGGTTTTTTGTTTGTATCATATTATTGTTGTAAATAAATAGTTCGACTTTCTTTTGACTTCACTAGAATTTATATATTGGCTTATGAGTCAACAAATGAAATTTAGGAAGAATTAAAATAGGTAGCATTATTTATACATTTTCTCATAATATAAAACTTGCTGTAACTTTTGAATTACGTACATCACTTTGAAGTATTTTTTCCTTTTCGAAACAAAAAAGTGACTTTATTCAGGTAAATTCTTAATTATTTAACCACTGATCTTTTTATGCTTTATTCTTTTTAGTCTTATCTCTTCTGGGAAGATACATTTTTTCTTAGCAGTGGCTTTATATTTAGAGAAAGCAATAATAACGGCCAGACACGGTGGCTCATGCCTGTAATCCCAGCACTTTGGGAGACTGAGGCAGGCAGATCATCTGAGGTCATGGGTTTGAGACCAGCCTGACCAACATGGTGAAACCCCATCTCTACTAAAAATACAAAATTAGTTGGGCATGGTGGCACATGTCTGTAATCCCAGCTACTCGGGAGGCTGAGGCAGGAGAATTGCTTGAACCCGGGAGGTGGAGGTTGCAGTGAGCTGAGATCACGCCATTGCACTCCAGCCTGGGCGGGCGACAAGAGCAAAACTCCATCCCCCTCAAAAAAAAAGAAAGCACTAACAATTTTCTCTATATAAATAAATATTTATTAAGCATCCACTGCATGCAAAGAACTAGCCTAGGCTCAGGGGATGTACATATGAACAAAAACTTTTTGTAGCTTATAGTTGGCATTACTTTCTAGATTTGTGGTATTTGGTTTTTTTTTCTGTGTTTGGTGACTCAAAGGAGAAAATACGTCTTACACTGAGCCATCTGAATATAAAAACCCATCACAGGTTATTCTTTTGATATGTTTGCTTTGGAATTTTTTCCCTATAGTTCATGCATCTGAAAGCATAGTGTTGCTCTTTTCTGGTTTCTCAGCAATTTATAGCAAATGAAATGTCTGCCTGAAAAAAACTACGGCACAGCATCCTAATATTCCAACATAATACATCATTTAATCTTCATTCCGTATGCATATTTTTGTATATTGTTCAGCAAATATGTGAGCCAATCATAGGTGAAATAGACGTTATTTTACAAATATGTTTAAATATTAAGTAGATAAGGCCTGGGCATAGTGGCTCACGCAGGTAATCCCAACACTTTTCAAAGCTGAGGCAGGTGGATTGCTTGAGCTCAGAAGTTCGAGACCATCCTGGGCAACATGGTGAAACCCTGTGACTACCAAAATTTACAAAAATTAGCCAGGCATGGTGTCACATGCCTGTAGTCCCCGATACTTTGGAGGCTGAGGTAGGAGGATCACTTGACCCCAGAAAGCAGAGGTTGCAGTGAGCCAAGACTGCTCCACTGCACTCCAGCCTGGGCAACAGAGCACCACTGATCCTTTTATGCTTTATTCTTTTTAGTCTTATCTCTTCTGGGAAGATACATTTTTTTCTTAGCAGTGGCTTTATATTTAGAGAAAGCAATAATAACGGCCAGACACGGTGGCTCATGCCTGTAATCCCAGCACTTTGGGAGACTGAGGCAGGCAGATCATCTGAGGTCATGGGTTTGAGACCAGCCTGACCAACATGGTGAAACCCCATCTCTACTAAAAATACAAAATTAGTTGGGCATGGTGGCACATGTCTGTAATCCCAGCTACTCGGGAGGCTGAGGCAGGAGAATTGCTTGAACCCGGGAGGTGGAGGTTGCAGTGAGCTGAGATCACGCCATTGCACTCCAGCCTGGGCGGGCGACAAGAGCAAAACTCCATCCCCCTCAAAAAAAAAGAAAGCACTAACAATTTTCTCTATATAAATAAATATTTATTAAGCATCCACTGCATGCAAAGAACTAGCCTAGGCTCAGGGGATGTACATATGAACAAAAACTTTTTGTAGCTTATAGTTGGCATTACTTTCTAGATTTGTGGTATTTGGTTTTTTTTTCTGTGTTTGGTGACTCAAAGGAGAAAATACGTCTTACACTGAGCCATCTGAATATAAAAACCCATCACAGGTTATTCTTTTGATATGTTTGCTTTGGAATTTTTTCCCTATAGTTCATGCATCTGAAAGCATAGTGTTGCTCTTTTCTGGTTTCTCAGCAATTTATAGCAAATGAAATGTCTGCCTGAAAAAAACTACGGCACAGCATCCTAATATTCCAACATAATACATCATTTAATCTTCATTCCGTATGCATATTTTTGTATATTGTTCAGCAAATATGTGAGCCAATCATAGGTGAAATAGACGTTATTTTACAAATATGTTTAAATATTAAGTAGATAAGGCCTGGGCATAGTGGCTCACGCAGGTAATCCCAACACTTTTCAAAGCTGAGGCAGGTGGATTGCTTGAGCTCAGAAGTTCGAGACCATCCTGGGCAACATGGTGAAACCCTGTGACTACCAAAATTTACAAAAATTAGCCAGGCATGGTGTCACATGCCTGTAGTCCCCGATACTTTGGAGGCTGAGGTAGGAGGATCACTTGACCCCAGAAAGCAGAGGTTGCAGTGAGCCAAGACTGCTCCACTGCACTCCAGCCTGGGCAACAGAGCAAGACCCTGTCTGAACAGCAAAATGTTTTTATCTTAAGTGGGTCATTTACGGTATCTTAGTCTGCCATACCCCTGGATGTTGAAGTCCCCCCCATAATTTTTCCTTCTGCTATAATTGTCCATTTCATTTGAGAGAGAGGAGATTTTTTAGTAAAGTTTTTAAATTGTAAAAAAAAAAACAAAATTTACCCTTTTCATGATTTTTCCTTTTTATTTATTTTTAGATAGTGCCTGAAACAGAATAGGTTCAGAGAGGCTCCCTCCTTTTATTGTTAGTTGACATGTAATAATTGTACATATTTGTGGTGTGCAAAATGATATTTTGGTACATGTATGCAATTAGTAATGATCAAATGAGGGTAATTAGGATATACCTATCACCTCAAACATTTAGCTTTCTTTGTTGAAAACATTCAAAATTCTTCACCCTAGGCTAGAGTGCAGTGGTGCAGTCATGGGTTCAAGCAATTCTTGGGCTCAAGCAATTTTCTTGCTTCAGCCTCCGGTGTAGGTGGGGCCACAGGTGCACACCACCTTGTCCAACTAATTTTTCGATTTGTTTGTTTATAGAGATGGAGTCTCACTTTCTTGCCCAGGCTGGCCTTGAACTCCTGGACTCCTCCTGCCTCAGCCTCTCAAAGCACTGAGATTACAGGGGGTGAGCCACCATGCCAGGCTTCTTGTGCCTTTTTTAACATATACCATAAACTGTTGTTAACTATATACCCTGCAGTGCTATAGAACACTAGAAGATGTTCCTCCTGTCTGTCTAGCTGTAATTTTGTATCTATTAACCAGCCTCTTCCTACACTCCCCTCCTTTCTCCCTGCCTATCTTCTAATAACCATAACTCTTCTCTCTACTTGTATAATCTAAGGATTTTTTTTAGCTCCCCCATGTGAGTGAGGACATTTGGTATTTATCTTTCTGTCCTTGACTTATTTTACTTAGCATAATGTCCTCCAGGTTTATCATGTTGCTGCAAATGACAGAATTTCATTCTTTTTTACGGCTGAATAGTATTCCATTGTGTATGTTTACCACATTTTTTTCCATTCATCTGTTGATGAACATGTAGGTTGATTTCATTTCTTGGCCATTGTGAGTAGTGCTGCAATAAACATGGGGTGCAAGTATCTCTTTGATATAATTTCTTTTCTTTGGGTAGGTACCCAGTAGTGGGATTGCTGGATCATATGATAGTTATATTTTTAGTTTTTTGAGGCACTTCCATACTGTTTTCATTCCTGGATGTACTAATGTTTACATTGTTTACCAACCCAATGTATAAGAGTTGCCATAAATGATTATTATTATTTTACTATTTTTACTTTTTTTTTTTTGAGATGGCATTCTCAACTCTTGTTGCCCAGAGGCCGGAGTTGCAATGGTTGCAGGTCTCGGCCTTACTGCATCCTCCCGCCTCCTGGTTCAGCAATTCTCCTGCCTTAGCCTCCCAGTTTTAGCGGGGATTATCAGGTACCCACCACACCGCCGGGCTAATTTTAGTATTTTTAGTGAGATTGGAGATTTCACCATGGGCCCAGGCTGGATCTTGAACTCCCTGATCAGGTGTCACCCAACCTCCAGGCCTCTCCATGTGCTGGGATTACAGGCGTGAGCCACCACACCCGGGGGACTGTTACTATTTTTGAGGACAGTCTTGCTTCTGTCGCCCCAGGATGGAGTGCAGTGGCACCATCTTGGTTCACTGCAACTCCATCCACTTCTGGGTTGAAGTAATTCTCCCTGCCTTAGCATCTTGAGGTAGGCTGGGGATTACAGGTGGTACACCACAAATGCCCCGACTAATTTTTGTAATTTTTAGATAGAGAACGGAGTTTGGCCATGTGCCAAGGGCTGGTCTCATACTCTGGCCCCTCAAGCCAGTCTGCCCGCCTCAGGTCCTCCCAAAGGGTTTGGGATTACAGGCTTTGAGTCACTGTCACTCCGCCTCTATGTTTTTTTTTTAAGTGTATACTTCAATAGTTATAACTGATTCACATTTCTATCCTGTAATAGAGCTCGTACATTCCTTTATTTTTTGAAATTGGTCTTCATTGATTTAAATGTTCTGCAGGTATATTGTGTATGTATAAAGATGGGCGGTGGCCAGGCCAGTGGCTCCGCTGTCTTTCCAGCCATCCTGTGGGATGGCCGGAGGCAGGTGGATTTACGCTCTGTCATGTACGTAATCGAGACCATCCCTGGGCCACATGGTGGGAAAGGCCCCGTTTCTCTACTAAAAATACGAAAAAAATTAGTTCGGCTGGTTTTTTTTTTTGTTTTGTTTTTGTTTTTTGTTGTTTTTGGTGGTGGGCGCCTGTAGTGCCCAGGCTACTCCGGGAGGCTGGTGGAGGCGAATCCCTTGATCCCAGGTGTCATGGCGGAGGTGGCAGCTTAAGCTGAGGGTTACACCACTGCACCTTCAGCTGGTGACAGAGTGTATAGATCTTTGTCTCAAAAAATATAAAAAATAAAAAATGATGGTATTCACATGCTAATACCAATTTACTTGCCTGTCTCGTTTTGTATGGTTTTAGTCTTTGTGAGGGATTTTTTTTTTTTTGAGCCCGCATTCTGCTCTTCACCGGCTGTGAGTGCAGGTGGGCATTATTTATCAGTCTTTACTGCAGCCTTAGGACCTCCTGGGCTCAAGCAATTCTCCCCTTCAGCCTCCCAAGTAACTGGAACTGCAGGTGCGCATCCCACCTCCTGTGCTAATTTCTTTTGTTAAATTTTGTAGAGACAGGTTTTCCCCAGGTTGCCCAAGCGGCTTTTGAACTCCTGATCTTCAGGCAATCCCTGCTTGGCCCTCCCAAAGGCTTCTGGGATGCAGGTGGGCATTGGCACCCAGGGTTTTTTCCGTGTAAGTGATTTGTTTTTTTTGTTTTGTTTCATTTATCTTTTCTTTCTGTATTTAATAAACCTAATGACCGTATCTTTTTGTTAAAATGGTATTAGCTTTTAAATGCTTGTTTGGGTGCAATGTCGGTTTTTCTGGAAGATATTTTCATATGAATTTTGTAAACTTAGGAAATTATACGGTAGGCCAGGCCACGGTGGCTCCTGCCTGTATCCTCAAGGGCAACTTTGGTAGGGCCAAGGTGGTTGGATTCGGCTTGAGCCTCAGGAGTTTGGAGCCCAGACGCCCAACCATGGCAAGGATCATGTGTCTCTGACTGAATTCAAAGTTAGCTGGGCATGATGGCCACCCACCGTATCCTATGCTACTTCAGTGAGGCTGAGCACGTGAGAATTGCTTGATACCTTCCGTGAGGTGGATGTTTGTAGTGGGAGGCTTGGATCTCACCACTGCACTAACAGCCTGGGCGACAGAGGCAGACTTCTGTCTCATGCAAAATAAAGATAATTATAAGGTATGTCATTTTTTGTTGTATGTGCTTTTAAGAATTTAATGGATTTTACCACCTTAACTGGGTCATATTTTATGAGGGCATTAATGTGGTTTCAGCTATTGTTAAACTAGCTTGTTCCCCCGGTTGGCGGGTGCAGTGGCTCACGCCTGTAATCCCAGCACTTTGGGAGGCTGAGGTGGGTGGATCACCTGAGGTCAGGAGTTCGAGACTAGCCTGACCAACATGGAGAACTCCCATCTCTACTAAAAATACAAAATTAGCTGGGTGTGGTGGCGGGCGCCTATAATTCCAGCCGCTCGAGAGGCAGAGGCAGGAGAACTGCATGAACCTGGGCGGCGGAGGTTGCAGTGAGCCAAGATTGTGCCATTGCACTCCAGCCTGGGCATCAAGAGCGAAACTCCATCTCAAAAAGAAAAGAATTAGCTTTCCCAGGAATGGCTGAATTCACCATAATGATAATGTTGATGTGGAGTCCTCTCAGTTTTCAGTCTGAGTCCTAACATCTCACATTTTAAGGCTTCTCTCTGTATGCTTGTTCATCCTTCGTAGGTTCTTTTGCATAAAGTACCACACTTTACATACCTTGAGTCAGAACTGAAAATTACAGCAAAAATGGCTCTCAATTGTATATTTAAAAATCTCTAAGATAAATTATTGTATGAGAAAAGCAAAGTGCAGAAAAATATGTGTAATATGACACTTAGTGTGAGAAGGCAGAATTAGAATATTTGCCTCCGTCTGGGTATGGTGGCTCACATCTGTAATCCAAGGACTTTGAGATGCCGAGGCAGGAGTAGCCCTTCAGGCCGGGAGGTAAAGATCAGCCGAGACAACATGGGGAGACCTCCATCTCTACAAAATATGAAAATAACCAGGTGCACGCCTGCCCTGCTACTCAGGTGGCTGAAGCAGGAGGACTGCTTGAGCCTGGGAGGTCCAGGTTACAGTGAGCCGTGATGAATCCACTGCACTTCAACCTGACAGAGCAAGGGCCTGTCTCAAAGTACCTAAATGAAAAAGTAAGGCGAGGTGCGGTGGCTCACGCCTGTAATCCCAGCACTTTTGGGAGGCCGAGGCAGGCGGATCACAAGGTCAGGAGATCAAGATCATCTGGCTAATATGGTGAAACCCCGTCTCTACTAAAAATACAAAAATTAGCTGGGCAAGGTGGCTTGTGCCTGTAGTCCCAGCTACTCAGGAGGCTTAGACAGGAGAATTGCTTGAACCTGGGAGTCGGGAGGTTGCAGTGAGCCAAGATTTCACCACTGTACTCCAGCCTGGCCACAGAGCAAGACTCCGTCTCAAAAAATAAGTAAATACATAAATACATAAAAATATTGACTTGGCTGCATAACGAAATTCTGGAGAGCTATACAAATTCTTAATCATTCTGGTTTTGGACATAGAATTATCACTGTATAATCTTTTTTCTGATTTTTGATTCATATGAATATTAAGAATTAAAAATGGCTTTTGAAAGTGAATCACTGAGAATTTTAGAAAAGAAACTGACTTTGTTTTCCCACAGAAGAATGTAATACCTCACGTATAATTTCTTAGACCTGATATAGGCAAACTACAGCCCAAGGACCACTCTTCCCTTCCTTCCCTTTTTGTAAAGAAGGTTGTATTGGAACACAGCCACGTCCATTGGTGTACATCTGCTTTCCAGCTACAGTGGCAAAGCTGAGCAGTTTTAGCAGACATCTCATGGCCTGCAATATTTATTATCTTACTCTTAACAGAAAAATGTTGCTGACCTCTCCCGTAGGTATTGTTTTTTTACTTTTAGTCATAGAATACTTTGTTCAATAACATTTTTATATGGACCACTATTACTTGGAAGTACAGGTATATTTACTGAAGTGAGATTAGGGGACAGGTTGGTTGAACCCTGCCACTCACCTGCCTTCCTCTTTTTTTTAACCCTCCATCCTCCAGCAGCTGTTTCTTGAGGGGAATTTGAGGAATCCCCAGGGTTCTAAGGAGTACGGTTTGAAAATCACTGCCTTACAGCAACTCTTGAGGTAGTAAGTCTGATACTATTTTCTGTATTAGGTACTGAGACGCAGCTCATACAAATGAGTTAGTCCAGGTTTAATAAGAAACCAGAACAAAATGCAAATCCAGGGATGATTAGTTACAGAACAAGTGGTCATATTTGCCTTTAAATTATATTTTATATTGTCATAATTCTGTATTGTTTCATTGGTAATTGACTTTTTTGTCTTTACCTTCTTTGAATTCATACAGGTTTTTGTAAGGCCAGCTTCCTTCCTTTACTGGAATTTGCCTATACTTCTGTACTAAGTTTTGACTTCTGTAGCATGGCTGATGTAGCCATCTTAGCTCGTCATCTTTTCATGTCAGAAGTCTTAGAGATTTGTGAAAGTGTACATAAGCTAATGGAAGAGAAGCAGCTAACAGTATATAAGAAGGGTGAAGTACAAACAGTTGCATCCACCCAGGACTTACCAGTACAGAATGGGGGTACAGCACCTCCTGTGGCTAGCAATGAGGGAACAACAACTTTATCTACTGAACTTGGAGATTGTGAAATTGTACTGCTGGTAAATGGAGAATTGCCAGAAGCTGAGCAGAATGGAGAGTTAGGACGACAGCCTGAGCCCCAGGTTTCTTCAGAAGCTGAAGCTGCCCTGTCATCTGTAGGATGTATAGCTGATTCCCATCCTGCAATGAAGTCTGTTGATTTAATAACAAAAAACAACCAGACAAAACTGGAAACTTCAAACAACAGAGACAATAACACAGTTTCTAATATATACCCGAAACTTTCAAAAGAGAATGTAATTAGTAGTTCACCAGAGGATAGTGGTATGGGAAATGATATATCAGCTGAGGATATCTGTGCCGAAGACATTCCAAAACGTAGGCAGAATGTTGACCAACCTTTAAAAGATCAGGAAAATCTAGTTGCATCAACAGCAAAGACAGACTTTGGCCCTGATGATGATACTTACAGAAGCAGGCTTCGACAACGTTCTGTTAATGAAGGGGCATATATTCGACTACACAAGGGAATGGAGAAAAAGCTGCAGAAACGGAAAGCCATTCCCAAGTCAGCAGTTCAACAGGTATGATGTAAGAAGGGTTGGCCTTTGTAGTTTTAGCTTTAGGTTGAAAGCATTGTATTGATGAACTTAGGGCTATAGTGAAAATTGTTTGGGAGGTGAGACAGGTACAAGGTAGCAACTTAATGTTTTAAATGCCAGTATTAATAAGATAATGTGAATTTGAAATCTTTTTGTTAGAAATTTACAACATGACTTTCAAAATTAAAATTGAGTAGATTTACTTAGATTGTGATTTCTATCCCTTATTAGGTGGCTCAGAAGTTAGTTCAAAGAGGAAAGAAGATGAAACAGCCGAAAAGAGATGCTAAAGAGAACACTGAAGAAGCATCTCATAAATGTGGGGAATGTGGAATGGTTTTTCAGAGACGATACGCCCTTATAATGCACAAACTGAAACATGAAAGAGCTAGAGATTACAAATGTCCGGTAAGTATTTGGAAAGCTAATTGAAGATAACTCTAATTCATAATATATAGAATCCAGCTTACTGCTTGGTTATCTTTTCACTTGTATTCTATGTCTTTTATGACTATAAGAGTCATCTTTTGATTTAAATATGCATGTCATTTACTTGCCTCCCCAAAATATTCAGTGACTTATCTCTGCTTCCTCCCGATACCATAGTAAAATAACAGTAAAAAGATCATTTTAAAAATGTAACTCATAAAAAGGCAGAGAGAACAGGAAATCTTGAAACAACTAAATTCTGGATACAAATAAATAGATGGAGTAACTTATTCAGCAGATTTGAAAGGGTTCACTTCCAGGTTTTCAGTGGGGAAAGCTAAGAATCAACCCAAATTGAATTGTAGAACCACCAAAATGTCTCAGGAATTAGTAGTGCTAGCTACCTTGAAAGTAGAGCAATTAAATCACTACCCCTGTCCCCTTAGCCAGAGATCCATCTTCTCCCTGGAAAGGATAAAACCATAACTCCACTGGGGAGTACTATAATTAGTGAAGCTAAGCGTACGGTACTCAAAACAGGGAACAGTAAAAGCATACTGAATGTTAAGTTGTTTTTTTTTGGAAACGAAGTCTTGTTCTGTCAACCAGGCTAGAGTGCAGTGGCGCAATCTTGGCTCACTGCATCCTCCACCTCCCAGGTTCAGGCGATTCTCCTGCCTCAGCCTCCTGAGTAGCTGGGACTACAGGCATGAGCCACCATGCCTGGCTAATTTTTTGTGTGTTTTTAGTAGACACAGGGTTTCACCATGTTGGCCAGGCCAGTCTCAGACTCCTGAGCTCAAACGATCCACCTGCCTCAGCCTCCCCAAGGTATGGGATGCCAGGCGTGAGCTACCGCACCTGGCCCAAGTTCTTTCTTTTCTCAAGTCCCAAGGTATAGGCATCTACACCCTTAACCATAAAGCAAAAAGATTTCTCAGAGATGAAAAGTCTGAAGCCCAATAACAAAAGACAGCTACTGACTAAAGCTCATGGTTGACAACAGTCCCCTCCCCATTTACATGGAAATTCCAGTGAATTTTTTAATGTCTTATTCTGAAATATGAACAGATATTAGGGATTATTGACTCATGACAAAAGATTTCAAGAAAAACAACTTTGGCTGGACGCAGTGGCTTGTACCTATAATTCTAACATTTTGGGAGGCCAGGGCAGATTGCTTGAGCTCAAGATTTCAGGACCAGCCTGGGCAACATGGTGAAACCCCATCTCTACAAAAATTAACTGGGCATGGTGGCACACACCTGTAGTCCCAGCTACTTGTGAGGGGCTGAGGCAGGAGGATGGCTTGAACCCAGGAGGTCAAGGCTACAGGAAGCCAAGATTGCCCCACAAAGTGAGACCCTGTCTCCAAAAAAAAAAAAAAACAAAAAACCAAAAAAAGGCAACTTTGAGGTATCTAAGACTAGCGAGAAAAGAAAACTAAAAAGAAAAAAACTTCAGAACGTATGATTTATATAAGAGATAAATGAAAAAATTAAGTTTACAAAACAGCCAGGTACTATGGTTTTTTTGTTTATTTGTTTTTGTTTTTCTTGAGACAGAGTTTTGTTCTTGTTGCCCAGGTTGGAGTGCAATGGCACGATCTCTGCTTCCCAGATTGAAACAATTCTCCTGCCTCAGCCTCCTAAGTAGCCGGTATTACAGTCATACACCACCATACCCGGCTAATTTTGTATTTTTAGTAGAGATGGAGTTTCTCCGTGTTGGTCAGGCTGGTCTCAAACTCCTGACCTCAGGTGATCTGCCTGCCTCAGCCTTCCAAAGTGCTGGGATTACAGGCGTGAGCCTCTGCGCCCAGCGGTACTATGTTTTTAAAAGGACACATTGAGGCTGAGCGTGGTGGCCTATACCTGTAATCCGAACACTTTGGGAGGCAGAGATGGGAGAATCACTTGAGCCCAGGAGTTCAAGACCAGGCTATATAGCGAGACCCTGTCTCTACAAAAAAAAATTTTTTTAAATAAAAGGTCATATTGGCTGGTCCAAAGTTAGTGAGTTATCTCGATTGTTCACAGTTACAGATCAAACTGCTTGTTCTACTCTACCCGCTTCTCACTTCTGCACTTGACTAGTGTTAAAAAAAAAAAAAAGCCTAAAAAAATTATTAATATGAACGGTACATTAAAATAACTAAAGAGTTTTTTGGGAATAAAATATATAGCATATAAAAAAATCTCACAAAAGTTGGAAAATATAACTGATGAAATCTCCCAGAAAATAGAGCAAAAAGACAAGTTAGAAATTGGGAGTGAAAGAAAATAATATTATTGGTCTAAGATATTCAGTATACAAGTATTACTTTCAAACAAAACATGGAAAAAAAAATAAAGAAAAATTTCAGAACTTAAGGATAGAAGTTTCTGTGTTAAAGGAGTACACTGAATGCCCAGAACAGTGAATGAAAATCAAACTGTATTAAAGTACATTATAAAATTTCAGAATCAGTGGACGAAAATAAAATAAGTTGCCAGAGGGAAAACAATAACATTGTCAATCTCATAAAAAGGATAAGGATCAGAATGGCTTTAGGTTTTTCAACAACAGCAACAGAAACTAGAAGACAAAGCCACCATGTGTTTAAAATCTAAAGAGAAATGATTTCTGACTTGAATTCTTATAGCCAATCAGTCAAACTTTTAGTTATTTATGATGGTAGAGTAAGAATATTTTCAGACATGCCAGGTCTCAAAATTATTACCTCCCAAATTTTCTCAGGAAGCTGTTGACAGACAGTTTCACTAAAATGAGCAAGACATGTTAAATGGAAAACACGACATCCAGTTCAACAGAGTCCAAGGGATTCATCAAGACAATAGTGAAGGGAGATCCCAGGATGAAGCTATGAAGCTATGTATCAGGTATAGGGAACAATTAGCCCAGGACATAATTTTTTTTTTTTTTTTTTTTTTTTTGAGGTAGGGTCTTGCTCTGTAGCCCAGGCTGGAGTGCAATGGCACTATCACAGCTCACTGCAACCTCCACAGCCCGGGCTCAAACGATCCTCCTATCTTAGCCTCCCAAATAGCTGGGACCACAGGCATGCACCACCATTCTTGGCTTTTTGTATTTTTTTTGTAGAGACAGGGTTTTACGATGTTGCCTAGGCTGGTCTTAAACTCCTGGACTCAAGTGATCCACCCTCTTTAGCCTCCCAAATGCTGGGGTTACAGGCGTAAGCCACCACACCCAGACGAGGACATAATGATTTGACAGAGATTTCCAAAAAGGTGATGGGTTTTAAATCTCCTCCCAGTGCCGTTGGGGGCAGGGTTTGGCAAATTAGTAAGTGCAAAGAGAAATAAAACAAAAAGCAAGAAAGGAAAAAGAATTACCGTGTACTGTGTGTGGCCCAGTGGTAATAATATTTACATCCTAAAAATGTAAGCCTTGAAATTGGTCTACTCAAGAATATGATATAGGTATATTGATGAAGAGGGGTAATGGAAATCATTTACATATCTAAGGGAGTAGAGGAGTAAAAATGCAAATCAACTTCCATTATGTGTGTTACATAGAGTTACAAAGAGAAGCATCGAGAGAGTCATACAAACACAGCTGCACTTAAAAACAAAGTCAGAGATAACTCGAGAAGCAAAATATGGTGGAGATGGTTGGCCAGGAAACCAGTTTTACTTATTGTTTTAAAAAATAGGTTTTGCACAGGTTAAGCATATATAACTTTGATTTTAAAAAGAATAAAATTTTCTTGAATCTTCAACTATGAGATAAAATCCAAGGGCCATCAATCACAGCCTTACCTTTCTATTTCGAGCCCCTACTTCTGTTCCACCTGACAACTATTAGTACTCATGCTAATGATAATATTCTTCTGTCTTTGTTTTACCACTCCTGAAAGACCCATTTCAAGCCCAACCTTGTTGATACAAATCTTGTGCTGTCATTAGACTTTAGCCTCTCCTGAATAGGAATTGAGTCTTATCCCTTTTATCTTTACAATCTAGTACCTATTGTTTTTTACATAGTATATGTGTTTATTGATTTATATAATTGTAACAAAAAGTTCAAATATGAGTTGAGCTTCAGTTAACATTTTGTAAAGGAAATACATTTAGAGAGAATTTTATTTTTCTTTTAGTTGTGTAAAAAACAGTTTCAGTACAGTGCCTCTTTGCGAGCACATCTTATTCGTCATACCAGAAAAGATGCACCCTCTTCATCCTCGTCCAATTCTGCATCTAATGAAGCATCAGGAACATCATCTGAGAAGGGCAGAACCAAGCGGGAATTTATATGTTCCATATGTGGAAGAACATTACCTAAGTTATATTCTCTCCGAATACATATGTTAAAGCACACAGGTGTAAAGCCACATGCATGCCAGGTAAAGCTATAACGTTTATTTTGCTATTTAAAAAACATTAGAACTTAACTATGGGTGCCAAAGAGACTGGTGGGATGTGTATTCTCAAGTCACTCTCATTTTTGTAAAATGTCAGGGAAATTTATGACTTCTTTATTGCCTAGACCAAAGGTGATTCCCTATTGTGTTTTTTAATTTGCTCTCTGAAGTTGTAATTTGAATCTGTTTAAGATGTTTGTGAAAACTTATAGGGTCCAGAAGATGTATAGGGTGAAAAATAACCAATTTATCACCCCCATCATTCCTTAACCTTCAACTAGACCAACCCAGACTGGGAAGGAACCCATGGCTTAAACAAATCTCTGTGGTCCGTAAAAGTCCTGCCTAAGCTGTGTTCCTCTCTAGAGCTAAGGATTGAGAGTACCTAAATGCCAAAATACTACTCAAGGGCAATGAATCCTGTGATTAGCCAGCTTTGGGCTGTTTGGAACAGTGAAAAATTTCTAGTCGCACTAGAAATTTGTAGCCTTATATATGAGTATGATTCAGTTTGGGGTTTTTTGTCTCTTTTGAGACGAGGTCTTGTTCTGTCTCTCAGGCTGGAATGTAGTGGCGTGATCACGGCTCACTGCAGCCTCCCTCTCTCAGAGGCTTATACCATCCTCCCACCTTAGCCTCCCAAGTAGTTGGGACTACAGGTGTGCACCACCGTGCGTTGCTGATTTTTTAATATTTTGTGGAGATGGGGCCTAACTATGTTGCCCAGGCTGGCTTCAAACTCGTGGGCTCAAGTAGTTTTCATACCTCAGGCTCGCAAAGTATTGGAATTATAGGCGTGAGCACTATGCCAGGCCTGACTCAGTATTTTTATTAAAAAACAGTTTGGAACCAATGGGATTTTTTTCTTTTTTCTTTCTGTATTTTAATAGTTTTTGGGGAACAGGTGGTGTTTGTTTACTTGGATAAGTTTTTTAGTGGTATTTTCTGAAACTTTGGTGTACCCATTACTTGAACAGTATACACTATACCTAGGGTGTAGTCTTCTATGCCTCACCCCCAACTCACCCTTTCCCCCAAGTCCCCAGAGTCCATTGTATCATTCATAGCTTAGCTCCCAACTATGAGTGAGAACATAACGATGTTTGGTTTTCCATTCCTGAGTTACTTCATTTGTAGTGGTGGTCTCCAATCATTTGAACCTGGGAGGTGGTGGTTGCAGTGAGCCGAGGTGGTGCCACTGCACTCCAGCCTGGACAACAAGAGCAAAATTCCATCTCAAAAAAAATGAATTAATTGGCCAGGTGCAGTGGCTCATGCCTGCGAGGCAGGCGGATCACAAGGTCTGGAGATCAAGACCATCCTGGCCAACATGGTGAAACCCAGTCTCTACTAAAAATACAAAAAATTAGCCAGGCATGGTGGAACACACCGGTAATCCCAGCTACTCGGGAGGCTGAGGCAGGAGAATCACTGGAACCCAGAAGGCAGAGTTTGCGGTGAGCCAAGATCGCACCACTACACTCTAGCCTGGGCGACAGAATGAGACTCCATCTCAAAAAAAACTTAATTTTTAAAAGAGTAGTGGTCTCCAATTCCATCCAGGTTGCTGCAAATGCCATTATTTTGTTCATTTTTATGACTGAGTGGTATTCCATGGTCTATATATACACATTTTCTTTATCTGCTCATTGATTTACGGGCATTTGTGCTGGTTTCATATTTTTGCAACTGTGAATTGTGCTGTTGTAAACATACATGTGCAAGTATCTTTTTCAATGAGATTTTTTAAAGACAGGGTCTTCCTTGTTTTATTACCCAGGCTGGAGTACAGTGGCGTTATCTTAACTCACAGTGAACTCAAACTCCTGGTTTCAAGCAATCCTCCTGCATCAGCCACCCACGTAGCTAGGACTTCAGGTGCATGCCACCACACCCACCTAATTTTTTTTTTTTTTTTAATGTTTATAGAGACAGGAGTCTTGCTATATTGCCCAGGCTGCTCTTGAACTCCTGGTCTCAGGCTGTTCTCCCATCTGGGCCTCCCAAAGTGCTGGGATTATAGGCATAAGTCACTGTGCCTGGCCTCCAGTGAGACTTTTTTTATATTTCTCTCTTTTATACCTTTTTATTATTTTAGAAGAGAATGGGCTGAACCCACATGTACCCTTCACCCAACCTCAGTAGTTACCAGCTCATGGTACATGTGTTTTATGTATACTATTATTCACTACGCTACTCCCACCCCCACCCCCACTCCGCCAGGTTTGGTTTGGTTTGGTTTGGTTTGGTTTGGTTTGTTTTGTTTTGTTTTGGAGGTAGGGTCTCACTCTGTCACCCAGGCTAGAGTGCAGTGGTGCGATCTTGGCTCACTGCAACCTTAACCTCCCGGGTTCAAGCAATTGTCCTGCCTCAGCCTCCTGAGTAGCTGGAACTACACGCGCACGCCACCACGCCCAGCTAATTTTTTGTATTTTAGTAAAGATGGGGTTTCACCATGTTGCCCAGGTTGGTCTAGAACTCCTGAGCTCAGGCAATCCAACCACCTCAGCCTCCCAAAGTGTTGGGGTTACAGGCATGAGTCACCGTGCCCGGCTCCACCAGTTATTTTGAAGCCAAGTCCTAAGGATTACTTTATTTGTAAATTTATGGGGGTTTTTTTTGTTTTTTGTTTTTTTTTTATTTTTGGAGAAAGAATCTGCTCCTGTCACCCACCGGTGGTACCAAGGCTAGAGGTGGCAGTAGCCACGGATCTTGGCTCACTCGCAGCACGCCGACTCCGCCCTCCACTCGGGTTAAAGTGATTCTCACCTACCACTCCTCAAGCCCTCCCCAAACGTAGGTTTGGGATACAGACGGGCCTGGCCACCACAACCGTGGCTAATTTTTTTTTTTGTTTTTTTTTGGTTTTGTTCGCGGTCTCAGCAGACACCACCCGCGCCCGCGTGTCTTCCACGCGCCACTGCTTGTACCAGCGGCTGGTCACGAACTCTGAACTCAATGATCGCCCTGTCTCGGCTCCCTCCAATGCTGGGATACAGGTGTCGACCACCACAACCCAGGCATAAATTTAAATACCAAGTAAATGGATGGCGGCCTCTTGTCTTCCCATAGTGGCACTATCAAAATGCTGTTGGTCCTGTGGACGATAAGTAGAGAAATAGAGAGTCAAGCAATGTAGGAAACTGTCATACGCAAATTTGGCATTGTCACCAACGGCCACAGTCATTTTTAACAAAATTTTTGTGTTAAAAAAAATCTTCTCCCAGTGGATTGTGGCAAAGAAAAAATAATAGTTCCTTCATCACAGTTTGAAAACGCACTGTTTGGTGTGAACAGGAAATGAAATATGTTCTTGATTAAGCTGTCCCATCGCTGCTTAAATATAAGTATAACCATCATTTACCGGTGGGCGTCTCAGGAGCATGAGATTTATGTGCTGTTTTACTCATTTGTAGAGTCTCTGCGGTAATCACATGGTTTTAAAATAACAATATCAACATGCATTGAATACTCCCCGAGCATCACGACAAGGGTCACCACCGCTTCAAGTTGCGCGTTTCACCTTTCCACTTTTGTCATTCGAGTGGTTTAACGCTAAACACGAGCTCGCTAATGCATATTTATTTACAATAATATAGTTCTCTTTTCTCTGTCCTCGGTCTTCAGAAACCAATCTCCCTTATTTGTTCTTGACTTAATACCCTCTCGGTGCACGCCTGTTTTCTTTGGTCTTAGGTCTGGGAAAGACTTTTATCTTATCGCAGCATGACGGTCTAAAATTGATACAGTCAGAGTCGTTGCATCATCCAAAGCAGTTCCAGTGTGGAACTGATGTGTGTAAAGTCTTCTTGTTACCAAACGGAGTCTTCAGAACATATGAGTAACTGCACACAGTTAATGAAGAACATTTACTATCGACAAACATAGTTACATTCTAAACTATTAACCTGATTATCGGCTTTAATAATACCAGGAAATTGCATCATAACTGATACATGGTAGTGCGTCATTTTGTAGCTTGAGACAGTATTCTAAACATTAAAAAGCAAGCTGGGCACGGTGGCTCACGCTGTAATGCCATGCAATTGGTGAGGCCGAGGCGGGCGATCATGAGGTCAGGAGATCAAGTACGATCCTGGCTAACAAGTGAAACCCATCTCTACTAAAAATACAAAATATTAGCCAGATGTGGTGGCGGGCTCCTGTAGTCCCAGCTACTCGGGAGGCTGAGGCAGGAAAATGGCGTGAACCCAGGAGGCGGAGCTTGCAGTGAGCTGAGATTGCGCCACGGCACTCCAGCCTGGGTGACAGAACGAGACTCTGTCTCAAAAAAAAATTAATTAATGAACTTTAAAAAGGGTTTTCTTAGATCTGGTTTTACAGCTGTGTTTGTGTATAGAATATTCGTTGTTTCCCTCAGTGTAGAAAAATGTGTACTAAGTATTAAAATCATGCGTAATTTAAATCCAGGCATAAAGAAATGATCATGCTTTTAAAAAGTTAAATGGTAGGCAGACGTAATTGTCAACATAGTAGTTGGCTTATATTTTTTGTCCATGCATACTTATTTTTAGATGTTTTAAAGCAAAAATGTGGGAATAGTCAATGAAGGGTAGATATCTGCTGCAACTTGTATTCAACTCTATTACTATTACAATCCGTAGATCATACAACTGTATCACATTCTTTGGATCATACCTTCTGATAGTACTATAGTTGTTGAGAGGAAATGGGGATTTTGACATGGTTTATTGTTATTCTTAGATGTCTGCCAAATCTTACAGCTTCCATGTCCCTTTGGTAAAGTTACTTCTGAAATAACATAAAGAATTCTGCTAAAGGCCAGGCGTGGTGGCTCATGCCTGTAATCCCAGTGCTTTGGGAGGCCAAGGCAGGCAGATCACGAGGTCATGACATTGAGACGATCCTGGCTAACACGGTGAAATCCGTCTCTACTAAAAATACAAAAAATCAGCTGGGCGTGGTGTCATGTGCCTGTAGTCCCAGCTACTCGGAAAGCTGAGGCAGGAGAATGGCGTGAACCCGGGAGGCGGAGTTTGTGATGAGCCGAGATCGCGCCACTGCACTCCATCCAGCCTGAGCAACAGAGTGAGATGCCATCTCAAAAGAAAAAAAAAAAAGAATTCTGTTAAAAGAAGACTGATTGCTGGATATGTGACAGGGTTTTGATTTTTTCTAATAGGAGAGTCCAAGTACCTTTGCTCAGTTTGTGGAAAGTCTTTTCATAGGGGCTCTGGACTCAGCAAGCACTTCAAGAAACACCAACCAAAGCCTGAGGTTCGAGGCTATCATTGTACTCAGTAAGTATTCAATATGTGAGGCATTCAATTAATTTAATTACGTTTTTACTTAGTTTTCAAAAAAATATTCGAAGATAATATTAAACTGTAACTTCAGTTTACTCTTGATTTTAATGTCCTTTTTTTCTTGCCTGAGTGTTACTATTTTTAACGTCTTTGAGATGTAAATCATTTACCATACAAATCACTCATTTAAAGTGATTTAAGATTTTCAGATGTACTACCTGGAAGTGGGAGTGTGGGAAAGAAAAGTCTCACTGCCAGCCAGTTTCTTTTCCCGGGTCCTCTTCATTTTCCAGAGCCTCCTAAAATCTCTGTTATGATTGAGGTAAAATTCATATAACATAAAATTAGTCGGGCCAGGCACAACAGCTCAAGCCTGTAATCCCAGCACTTTGGGAGGCCAAGGCAGGCAGATCATCTGAAGTCAGAAGTTTGAGACCAGCCTGGCCAATGTGGCAAAACTCCATCTCTACTAAGAATACAAAAATCAGCCTGTCGTGGTAGTTCACACCTGTAGTCCCAGCTACTTGGGAGGCTGAGGCAGGAGAATCACTTGAACCCAGGAGGTAGGAGGTTGCAGTGAACCAAGATCGCACCACTGCACTCCATCCTGGGCGACAGAGTGAGACCCCGCCTCAAAAAAAGAAAAGAAAAAAAAAAAGTCATTTTAGGGTGGGCGCAGTGACTCATGCCTGTAATTTCAACACTTCGGGAAACAGGTGGGGGGATTGCTTAAGGCCAGGAGTTCAAAACTAGTCTAGGCAGGCAGCATAGCAAGATCCTGTCTCTTAGGGGAAAAAAAAAGCCAGGAAGCTCTCTTTTGCTTTTTTTTTTTTAACTTTTAGGTTCAGGGGTACATCAGAAAGCTCTCTTAACAGAGATTCAACAATTTTTTTTCTTTGTTAAACATATGTCTGGTCACTGTAAGCTTTTAGTTTTCAGAGTTCCTGGTAAGGTTGATTGTAACAGTTTGCCAGTTTATCCTCTGCTTTTGTGGAGAGATGGGCTTTTGGAGCTTCCTACTTGACATATCTGTTGATGTTACTCTAATTAGTCTTATTCTGCAACAAAGATAGTTTGTTATCAATACATTTTTAGTTATAAGTGAAAGTACACTCAACCCGACCAGGTTTGAATTAAATATAAAGTCTGGGAGTCTGGGTGGTTTAATGTAAACTGGATTCAAATTCATTAGCACTTGTTTTCTCTGAGGCACCCTATGGACAAGACAGTGGCAGTGGTTTCAGTCTCACATCCTCTCAGATTCCAAATTGTCAAACTTCTTTTCTGGTAGTTCATCAAAGCCCTGAGGATTACTCCAGTTACAAAGTTAAGTCAGTCATCCCTGAGTTAATCACTATGGCCAAGGGAATGCTTTGTTGTGGTTAACTTAGGCCCAAGTCATTTGCTGTATCCCTAGGGTCAAAGGTAAAGCCTCCCCTCAGCACATGGACTGAGAGTGAGAGGGTTGAATAGGGATCTCAAAGCGGGGTCACTTAGGGGAGAGAGAGATAATAGTAAATTTCCTCTGTAATAACCTTTGGGAACTATGCACGATTCTTTCTAAAACATTTCTAGTAGCCTTAAGATGAAAAGAACCTAAAACCCTGTAGCCTTTATGCAAGATTGGAAAATTAGGGAATTCTTTTAAGTTGATATCATCTTTTGGAGTTCTAAAAAACTAAAAATAGTTACTGCATTCTTGGAAACTTGTTTTAAAGGAATAAGATTATCCAGTTGGGTAACTGAACTTTATTGCAGGTGTGAAAAAAGTTTCTTTGAAGCTAGAGATCTTCGCCAGCACATGAACAAACATCTTGGTGTGAAGCCATTCCAGTGCCAATTTTGTGATAAGTGCTATAGTTGGAAGAAAGATTGGTATTCCCATGTGAAGTCTCATTCTGTCACTGAGCCTTATAGGTGGGTAAATTTGAGAAGGAGCTGAACTTAATTGATACATGTGTGTACTCTGATTATTATGACTGCTGCTTCTTTGGACAAAATAATTTGGTCTTTTCCCCTATTTTAGGTGTAATATATGTGGCAAAGAATTTTATGAAAAAGCTTTGTTCAGAAGGCATGTAAAGAAAGCTACCCATGGGAAAAAAGGAAGAGCAAAGCAAAACCTGGAACGGGTGTGTGAAAAATGTGGAAGAAAATTCACTCAGCTAAGAGAGTATAGGAGACACATGAACAACCATGAAGGTAACTATACTTGGTATTATATGTATCCTTATAGAATAAAATCCAGTCCAGTAGTGATTCTCCTTTACCAGCTCTTTCACCTTCCTTGGTAAAAGATTAATTTCATATCTTTATTCAAATGACAGAGGTAATCCTGAACCTGAGTACCTAATTATTGTGTATATATAAATAGGTTCCTTTTTTAGTGAGCTGAATTCTGTATCCACATTGTTATGCTGAACTAAACTATTTGAAACCTCTACTTTGAAGGAGTGAAGGAATAAATGAGATTATGCACAGAAACTAAAATTTGTCTCAATCACATCTGTCCATAGGAAGATCTTTAGAGAGATTTATAGTTCAGAATCTTGTTTATTCTTTTTTTGTTTGTTTGTTTTTTGGAGACAGAGTCTGTCACTCAGGCTGGAGTGCAGTGACGCGATCCTGGCTCACTGCAACCTCTGCCTCCCAGATTGAAGCGATTGTCCTGCCTCAGCCTCTGGGACTACAGGCGCCCGCCACCACGCCAGGCTAATTTTTGTATTTTTAGTAGAGATGGGGTTTCACCATGTTGGTCAGGCTGGTCTTGAACTGCTGACCTCAGGTGATCCACCTGCCTCAGCCTCGCAGAGTGCTGGGATTACAGGCGTGAGCCACCGCGCCCGGCCCAGAATCTTGTTTATTCCAAGGAAAGCCATTGAGTCCTAAATAAAAGATTGCCACAGTCAAGATAGAAAGGCTTATGAGCTACTGTACTTTTTAATAAAAGGAAGTTTGGTAGGCAGTTTAAGTATATTTTGGTGCTTGCACCTCACTACACATGTTTTTTTTTCTTTTTTTAGGAGTTAAGCCATTTGAGTGCTTAACATGTGGAGTTGCTTGGGCTGATGCCCGATCTCTAAAACGCCACGTCAGAACACATACTGGTGAACGGCCCTATGTCTGTCCTGTATGTAGTGAAGCCTACATAGATGCTCGAACACTCCGTAAACATATGACAAAATTCCACAGAGACTATGTGCCTTGCAAAATTATGCTGGAAAAAGACACCCTTCAGTTTCATAACCAAGGAACTCAAGTGGCACATGCTGTTAGCATCTTAACAGCAGACATGCAGGAACAAGAAAGCAGTGGTCCTCAAGAACTTGAGACTGTGGTAGTGACAGGAGAAACTATGGAAGCTCTGGAAGCTGTTGCAGCTACTGAAGAGTATCCATCGGTATCTACACTTTCTGACCAAAGTATTATGCAAGTGGTTAATTATGTATTGGCACAACAGCAAGGACAGAAGCTATCTGAAGTTGCAGAAGCTATTCAAACTGTTAAAGTAGAGGTAGCACATATTTCAGAAGGAGAATGAGTATGTTAATGAAGATAAAAAGAAGTGACATCTCTTGTACACTGAACTCACAGAACATTTGTTTACAATTCTGTGTGACTGTCTGCTTGGAGTTTACATATCAAAGCTCTGGGCTGTTTGGTAACGTAACATTTCCAAACATTTTGTCTGGCCAATGGGTTCTATAGAAAAGTCCATTTAGTGTAAAGAAATTGAAAACAAATTATTAGGTTGGTGCAGTTACTTTTGCAGCAACCTAATATTTGATGGCAGTGGTTTATCATGATATACCTTTTATGAATTAATGTTTATAAATGACTGTACTGAATTTAAAACTGTACAGTTTCATTTGCATTTTGACATTACTTTATTATACATTTTGCATTTAAAAGGCTGCACCAGTTGGCTTTTCTTCTGTTTTATTCTCAAAATATAGAGATTCTGTGATTTATTTGCCCTGTTTATGGATTAAAAAGAAAATTCTAATATAAAGCATTTCAATAGGATGCATAGGTATATTACGTTTTTTAAATGCTTTAGATCTGTGATTCTTGACTTACTATTTATTTTATCCCCTTTTAAGTCAGGGATTCTTTATTCTGTTTTAAAGCACTTAATGAGTTACATGTTGTAATCAAGTTTGCACAATATATTTATCTATATGAGGAACCCATAAATGAATAGCTAATTTTAAAAATGCCATTAAAATGCATGAAATGCTTATTAAAACCTTACTATACTATTTCTTCAAGGCAAGCAAATTGACCATGAGAAAAGAACAGAGTTATTTAACACTGTTGATGGGAAAATTCTCCTTGATAACATACGACAATTAATGGAAAAAAAAATTCTCATTATTTGCAAAGAATGAACAAGTTAATGAACAAACAAGCTAGGTTTGGTATGTTTTCAGCTTTTGTATCATGTTTAATTGTTTAATTTGGTTGAAAAACTGCAGTTGAGAAATCGGATAGCAATATAGATATTCACAGCGGCTCTGTGGATACCATGTAATTGTCAGGTAATTTCAGAATATTGAAAATTATTCAGTGCAGCCCTCATAGTATAATACTTGAAGAAATTGATTACAGTTCCACCAAATTGTTGAAGATAAATTATTTTTAAAGGTTACGAAAACTGAGTTATATTAATTCATATGTTTGATTTTTAAATCCCACCTCCTCAAGCTATCCTATTTTCTGATTTTGAAAATAACCATGAGAGATGCCACATTTCTCTCTGGGAAACTACCACTCAAAGTATAATTGTTAAAAATTAAGCTTTTAGGTATTAGAAGCTGTTATAAAGTATAAAATTAAGACATAAGCAGATCACATGTAAATCATTCCTAAAGCACAAGAAAAGAATGTGCCTTGATGTACATATATTATTAAGATGCCTCTCCCAGTTTACTTTAAAAATGGCTTTAAGGATAAAGAATAAATGTGATAGCTATGCATGCATTATATATTTGCATTTGCAAATTTCCCATTGTTTTACCAGCTGTGTGGCTGACTTTCAATTTTAAGAAGTGAATTGACATACAGCCCTTAACTTTATAATGGCTGCTCATTTATCTTATCTTTCAGTTAGTGAAAAAGCATTTCAACCTGACTAAAATTTGGAATTGTGTCTTTTATGTTCTATCCTCTGTTGTTACTAGATTTAGTTTAAAAATTGTATATGACCATTAATGTATGTCATAAACATGTAAATAAAAGATGTTGAATCTTGTTTAAAAGCATGGACTTTGGAGTTGAGCTTGTTACTATTTTCAGTTCATAAATCAGTTGTTACTTGATGTGTTAATTTTTTTTTAAAAGAGAAAGGAAATCAAACACTAAAAAATAACAATTGGAGGAACACTTAATATTAAAACTTCTTACTCTTAAATATAATTGATAGGGACAAGAGGCAAGGAAATAATGGATAGAAGAGGGCAGTTCCCCAGCAAAAGCCTGGAAACCCATGGCCCTAAATGGGAACAGGCATTCCTGTTTCGATGTCCAAATGTTGCCTTTTGGTCCACCATGCCCCCCTATCCTGTACCTATATAAACCCTAAACCCCAGGCTCCATGAGCAGAAGAGTGGTGTGGCAGAGAAGGAGAGAAGAGAGGAGCATCTAAATGCCCAGAGGAGTTCAGCTGGGGACGGCGGGAGAGGAGATCAGCCATGGGACAGCTAAACTCCAGGAGAAGATCATCTTCCCACTCCATCCCCTTTCCAGCTCCCCATCCATCCCGCTGAGAGTCATCTTTATCCGGCAATAAAATCCCCCGCATCTACCATCCTTCAGGTTGTCCATGTGACCTGATTCTTCCTGGATGCTGGACAAGAACCCAGGTACTAAGAGGGCACTGAGCTAGTTAACACTTAACGCCATCTGTAGACAGCAGAGGTAAAGGAGCACTGTAACATGCCCACTGGGGCTTTGGCAGTTGCAACCGCCCCCACCAGACGCTACTGTGGGGCCAGAGCCCAAAAGTGCTCAATCTGGCTCCCGCACTTGCCTGTCTGTGTGCTTCCCCTCCTGTAAGGGGTTTGGCTGAACAGATGAGCCACACCCCTGTCGCATGTCCTGCAAGGATATCAGGGAACTCTTCTGTTTTACAATCTTGTCACAGGATTATATATTGTGCCATCAACCATCAACTTGAAATAATTTAAATTTGTAAATTATATAAATTCCATGTAGAAACAAATGTTAAGAAGGTTCCAAAACTTCAATGCAGTTTTAATGTTACCAAGAGGGCATTGTTAATTTATAACAATTCCTTTTTAGAAACATAAAGCATATTGCTGTCATGAGATGACCCAAAAACTATGGGTGTCTCCTGATCAAATATGGAGGCCTTAAGCACTTTTGGCTACTTGTTACTGCTACTAAGCAATTTGAATCACTGCTGTTACTGCCTGAAATGCATGTATTGTCAATAGAAATGAAGTAATGCTCTAATAGGTTTTAATATGTTCATTTTACTAAAAGCCAATAGGGGTTTGCATAATTGCACAAGTTACTTAAACTGTTGGATTTAGAGCTAATGTAAACCTTCAGGCTTTTTTTCTCCCCCCTGTTGTTGTTTTCATAGCATTGGTATAAACTAGTGTGGGCATGTTTTTTTTGTTTGTTGTTTGAAACAGGGTCTCTGTTGCCCAGGCCAGAGTGCAGTGGTGCAAACACGGCTCTCTACAGCCTTGACCTCCTGGGCTCAAGCAATGCTGCCTCAGCCTCCCAGGTAGTGGGGACCACAGGTGTGCACCACCATGCCCAGCTAGATAATTTATTTATTTTTTGTAGAGATGGAGTGTCGCCATGTTGCCCAGGCTGGTCTCAAACTCCTAGGCTCAACTGATCCTCCCACCTAAGCCTTCCAGAGTGCTGGGATTACAGGTGTGAGCCACTGCACTGGGCCAATGATGCTTTGTGGGCTGATGATGCTTTCTGTTCCTGATTCTTTCTTTCAAATCTAATCTTTTTGGAGGTTCCTAACAGGGGTTTTACATTCAATGCTTGGCACATATGCAGTAAAAGTTAGCCTTTGCTTCCCCAATCCTATAAATTTATCAGAACTAGTTGTTGAAATGTGTGGAGCAAAGATACATAATTTCTTTAAGCACTTAAAATACACCATACTTATTTTGTAGTCTATTATTTGAAGATTTGATTTTGGGTTTTTTTTGTTTTTGTTTTTGTTTTTTGTTGTTGTTTATTTGTTTTTGGCTAGTCAAGTGAAGCAGTGGGAATGGAGAAGGAACAAAGAAATCTGTAACTGGTTGTGACCAATTAGTTATAAATACCACTGCAATTTTACCAGCCATCTGAAGTTTTGAAGTTTAATACTACTGTTACTAGATTTTTTGTGGGTGGGGGTTGGACAGGGTCTCACTCCCATCGCCCAGGCTGGAGTGCAGTGGCACTATCATTGTTCACTGCAGTCTCGACTTCTGGGCTCAGGTGATCCTCCCACCTCAGCCCCCAGAGTAGCTGGGACTACAGGTGTATGCCACCACATCCAGCTCATTTTTTGTATTTCTAGTAGAGATGGGGTTTCACCATGTTATGGAGGCTGGTCTGGAACTCCTTGCTCAAGTGATCCACCCACCTCAGCCTCCCAAAGTGTTGGGATTACAGGTGTGAGCCACTGTGCCCAGCCCTTCAAGTACTTTTATCTTTTGGAGTATGAGTTCAACTCCTATAGGGCCTGCTATGGTTGAAACGTTTATATCTTACAGAATTCATGTTGAAACTTAATCCCTAATGCAGCAGTATTGAGGTGTGGCTTTGGGGGGTGATTGAGTCATGAGGGCAAGGCCCTCATGAATATATTAGTGCCTTGTAAAAGGACTGGAAGCTACTAGCTTTTGCCTTACGGCCTTGTGCCATGTGAGAACACAGCAACAAGGCTCCATTTTGGAAGCAGAGAGCAGCTGTCGCCAAACACTGAGCCTAGCGGAGCCTTGATCTTGAACTTCCCAGCCTCCAGAACTGTGACAAAATAAATGTATGTTATTTACAAATTATGCATTTATGGTATTTTGTTATAGCAGCCCAAATGGACTAATGACCTTATTTTAGGGAATCTTACGCCACCTACCTAGGTTGAAGATAGTCCTTCCAGATCAGTTTGTTTTCTTCTGCTAGGTTCCTGCAGGAGTATCAGTGGCTAGGTACTATATTTCCATCAACTTCTCAGCCTATTGTTTCCCAGGTGAATAATTGTAAATTTGAACTCTAAACCAGTATTAGAACAAGCCTATTTTGTAGCACATCTTCAGGGTGCCATGGCTCATGCCTGTAATCCCAGCACTTTGGGAGGCTGAGGTGGGCGGATCACCTGAAGTCAGGAGTTCGAGACCAGCCTGGCTAACATGAAGCCCTGTCTCTACTAAAAATACAAAATTAGCCAGGCGTGGTGGTGCATGCCTATAATCCCAGGTACTCGGGAGGCTGAGGCAGGAACATGGCTTAAACCTGGGAGGCAGAGGTTGCAGTGAGACGAGATAATGCCATTGCACTCCAGCCTGGGCAACAAGGGCGAAACTCTGTCTGAAAAAAAAACCTCTTCAGGGGACACTTTTGGCCCACCTGAAGCTCGGCATGAGACAATATCCTTCTCTCTCTGGGGTGGCGCATGGATTTTTTTCTGATTTGTGTTTCCGCTGAAAGTAAAGCTCTTCATTGGGCCCAGCTTTGTGTAGAGCTGTCAGTTTCTATTCTTGTGTACCCAAATCCTGATCTCTTGTCACCGTTTGGCTGTCCAAAGCCAATCCCTTTGAGACTGGCAATCTCATCTACTAGAGGCTACTGCAGTTTCAACTCAGTTTCATATTTGGAGCCCTAGGACATTCCCTTTCTTACAAAGTAAGTACTTTGACTTTCAAAGGATGTTACAGCAGAAATTTTCAGGTGTCTTAGTCTGCCACATACTGAAAACAATGTCGAGTTGTTTTTAAAAATATTTTTACCCTGTAGTTACTCTCTTCTTTCTTCTTGGGGTGTCGTATTTTAGCAGTCTTCCTTCACGTTGAACATATTTTGGCAGTGTTTTTTTTACCCACAGTACCTTTGTCTTTCTCTCCATCTTCTCCCTTCCTGGTAACCTATGACAGTCCCTTGACCTGATTTTTAACTGTTTTTATTCAATTATCTATTGAATTCTTTATTTCCAAAATTATATTTTTATGCTAGAATTTCCACGTTTCTTCATAGATTACTTATTTCTGCTTCCCATTTCCATTCAGCTTACTTTGCTGATTTTATTCATATGTTCATTTAAAATTCTTATTGAGCCGGGTGCAGTGGCGCACGCCTGTAATCCCAGCACTTTGGGAGGCTGAGGTGGGCGGATCACTTGAGGTCAGGATTTCGAGACCAGTCTAGCCAACATGGCAAAACCCCGTCTCTACTAAAAATAGAAAAAAAATAGCCAATGGTGATGGTGGGTGCCTATAATCCCAGCTACTAGGGAGGTTGAGGCAGGAAAATTGCTTGAACCCAGAAAGCAGAGGTTGCACTGTGTTGAGATTGTGCCACTGCACTCTAGGCTGGGCTACAGAGTGAGACTCTGTCTCAAAAAAAAAAAAAAAAAAAATTGGCTGCGCATGGTAGCACGTGCCTATAATCCCAGCTACTGGGGAGGCTGAGGCAGGGGAATCGCTTGAACCCAGGAGGCGGAGGTTGCAGTGAGCCGAGATCGCGCCACTGACTGCACTCTAGCCTGGGCAACAGAGGGAGAGTCCGTTTCAAAAAAAAAAAAAAAGAATGTGTCTGTTCTATGTGCTGTGCTAAAAAACTATTACTTTGAATATATCACAAGTTATACTAGGATTTTACTGGAAAGTAGTCCCGATCCGGACCCCAAGAGAGGGTCCTTTGACCTCGCGCAAGATTTCGAATTCAGAGTGAGTCCATAGAGTAAGGGGAACGGGCGCGGTGGCTCACGCCTGTAATCCCAGCACTTTGGGAGGCCGAGGCGGGCGAATCACACAGGAGATCCAGACCAGCCTGGCCAATATGGTGAAATCCTGTCTCTACTAAAAATACAAAAATTACCTGGGCATGGTGGCACGTGCCTGTAATCCCAGCTACTTGGGAGACATTGGCTGCGCATGGTAGCACGTGCCTATAATCCCAGCTACTGGGGAGGCTGAGGCAGGGGAATCGCTTGAACCCAGGAGGCGGAGGTTGCAGTGAGCCGAGATCGCGCCACTGACTGCACTCTAGCCTGGGCAACAGAGGGAGAGT